GATGACTAGCTGCCTTCCCTCTATTCTTACACTGCTAAATTAGGGACGGCTAGCGCAGATAGCTCTCGTGTGGCTTTGCGCGAATTTCAAAACAAACAAACAGATTTGTTACCTGTACGTTAGAATTTGCAATAGATGTTTAACAGTAAGGCGTAGCTCACATATGTACATTATAAATATTCATAAGGTTCTGTACAGGTTATTAAGCATTTTGTACGAAATGAAACGTGTCAAGGGAAACCGAAACATTAAAGATATTCAGAAATATATATATATATATAGATTAATATTAACGAATGGTAAAGCAACAAATGCAGCTTCGTCGAAATTATAAAGGTTTTTTTTTGTCGTCTTTTTTGTGTTGATGATATTAAGTATTACGAGCTTTATAAATGATATCCGTATTAAACTGGAGTGAATTCAAGGTGACTTGGTTATTATTATTAAAGTCAGTTATATTACAATAATGACAAGAAATCATACAATCTGGTTTAAAACTTCGTTCACTGTTCGTGGTTTATGTTTTCTAAGTTAGGGTTATGATAAGGATTGTATATTCTTCAATAAAATACCATAGTAATTTGAATTATATAAAGATAAGGACACGTGCAAAAAGTGTTCATACCTCTTTGAAATGTGTTTTTTTTATATAAACACTGAACTAAAAAAAAAACAATGTTAAAATGATTAGAGATCACGTAGCCCCATAATGGCTCAATGGTAAATTTGAAGGCTAAATATAGAGGTTTCGATTCGCATGGTGGGTCCAACACTGATATCCCATTCAGAAGCTATGCGTTTAATCAGAACTAAAGAACCAATCAAACAAACAGATTTTTTTCATGCATAATAATAAGTATACTTGAATAAGATAGTACACACGTTTTTCTTTACTCTGTTTAAGATATAAATTAATGATAATTTTAAATGCTAACAAGTTAACAACATTTTATCGACCATCATTAGCGTATAAAACACTAATATTGGGTGAGTTTTATTTGTCGTAAACTGAATATATTTACTTATATTTAAGTATGAGAAACATATAATTCATTAGTCTTGGAAAATTAATCTAAATAAAACGTACAAACATGGTAATAAAGTGATTGACAAATCAGACAGTTGAAAGGTAATAAAGTGATTGACAAATCAGACAGTTGAAAGGTAATAAAGTGATTGACAAATCAGACAGTTGAAAGGTAATAAAGAAAGATCCAACTGAACCGAATAAGATAAAATAAATATCATAAGTTTTAATACTGGTTGGCCAATTCTTGGCGTTTAAACATTAGCATGTTAATACATTGTTCGCAACTGCATCTTTGAAGTGGTACCCTTCAAATCAGATATATGTTTGGTCGATTGTACTTTTTTCTCAATCACTGTAAGTGTTCCAACTCTCATATTTTACACTCTTTGATATATTGATAATGACACATCTGCGCTTATCGCGTAATCTTTAACCGCATTTAATAAGTTAAACCTATTATAACTCTACCTGTACTATAAACAGAATTCTATGAGCGATGACGATGATGAAACAGAAGGGTTTAAAATTTGTTACAGTCCTCATCTTTAACAACTGAGACTTTAATTTATGAAGTATAATAAAGTGAGTGTTTTAGCAACTTTGTTAACAAACTTCTCGATCATTGGTGTAATGTGTGAAAGGCCTGACATTCACACCCTTAACAACTGAGACTTTAATTTATGAAGTATAATAAAGTGAGTGTTTTAGCAACTTTGTTAACAAACTTCTCGATCATTGGTGTAATGTGTGAAAGGCCTTACATTCAAAGAATATTACTGCTCCTAAAGTAGATTTTAGGGTATTACCAGATGGTAAGTTGCTTAACTTTATGTAGAATGAGTTTCTTACCTACTTGACCTCTGTTAGCTATGTTAAAATATTGTTAGGGTTCAGAAGACTAGTTATTAATACTCTTGTTAGTACTCTCAGCTTTTTAACTTTCATTACATTTCTTACTATACTGATAAGATTCAGAAGATGGGTTGTAATACTCCAACTGGTATTTTTAACTTTTCTATAAGTCAATAAGTACTTTAATGTACTGATAGGATTCAGAAAAGGGTTGTAATAATCCAACTAGTGTTTTTAACTTTTCTGTTAGTCAATAAATATTTTACTATATTGATAGGATTCAGAAAAGGGTTGTAATAATCCAACTAGTGTTTTTAACTTTTCTGTTAGTCAATAAACATTTTACTATATTGATAGGATTCAGAAAAGGGTTGTAATACTCCAACTAGTATTTTTAACTTTTCTATAAGTCAATAAGTACTTTAATGTATTGATAGGATTCAGAAAAGGGTTGTAATAATCCAACTAGTGTTTTTAACTTATCTGTGAGTGAATAAATATTTTACTATATTGATAGGATTCAGAAAAGGGTTGTAATAGTCCAACTAGTGTTTTTAACTTATCTGTTAGT